TGTACTTCTGGACACCAGAAACCTCCGGCTGCCGCAGCCCGCCAAATTACGACCCCGGTTCGTAGGACCGTTTCGTATCGTCCAGATGGTGACACCTGTCACCGCCAAGCTGCTGTTGCCCAACGACTGGAAAATCCATGACGCCTTCCACGTCAGCCTTCTGCGTCATTACGAGCCCCCGCAGTCGCCAACTGTCGCTCGGCCAACGCTCGCGCCGACAACACGCCCTGTGGCGGAGCCCACGCTGGAACCCTGGAAAATTCTGAACCACCGCGTGGACGTGACTACCGCCGGCCGCTCCGTGAAATTCCTGCTTCGTTGGAAGGACCGCACGAGCGAGGATGACACGTATGTCCCTGCTGACTCGCTCCTGGGACATCCGATTGTGGATGCTTACCTGACCCGCCGTGGTGTCTCCGACATTCACCACCTTTCTTAAGGGGGGGGGTAGTGTAAGGAATTTTTCGGATTCCTTACTGGGTCACACTGTACGCGTACAAACCTGACTTTTCGGAAAACCAGGCTCGGTCCGACGACCTCGCCTTCCGAACCACTATCGCGTCGCTTTCGGGTTTCACAACCCCGGACCTGCACCCAGCCATCCTGCGACCCTACAACCTCGGCCCAGCTAGCCTCGCTATATTAGTCCTAGGCCTCGTTGTGCTCTCAGTAGTTGTAATCACCTCCGCGATATTGAATTCTGCGCACTCTTCTTTCATACAACTCATAACAACGCTAATTCCTTAGCTGGGTTCTTTGAAGCCTTAGGCTGCATGCTGACATGTACTAGCAATCAGAAAGGTCAAAATAATGGATAGTCAGGAACTGAACACATCAATGCCAGAACCAGAACGCTTCAATCACTGCTCCACTCCATACGGTCTTGCTTGCCATACTTGCACAAAAATCCAAACCATGACATTAACCACATTCATCGATCACCCTGCCCCTTCACTTTGCCTGCTTGTGCTGCCTCTCTCTCTCCACAGCCCTCCACCCAATATCCCGTCGGCAAAACCCCTCCTTCCACTCTACCTTATCCACAGCTCTATACGCCACAGCCTGCGCCTCCCCCACACTCCCTCCCAGCGCAGTAACACCCAGCACCCTCCCCCCCGCCGCCACCACCTGACCCTCCCTCCCCTCACTCACTCCCCTCTCCGTCTCGCCCAACGCTCCCGGGGTCCTCCCCTCCGCCGCCCCTCCTGCAGCGGCTGCTCCTGCTGCTTCCTCTCCTGGCACAAGCTTCGTTCCCGCGTGGAAAACAGTGACTCTCGGATCAGTGGCAGCAGCAGCAGCAAGGCCGTGGATGGGCGTGCCAGACTCGTATGCTCCCGGGTAGCCCTTGGCAGCGAGCACGACGACCAGGGCAGCGTCAGTTGTCCATTGCAGAGGTGGGAGGGAGGAGAGGGTGCCGTGGCAGGCGGAAAGGAGCAGCTGGGAGAGGTCCGACTGCAGACGCTTCATCAGCACCTGGTGGTGGTGGGGGGGGAAAGTAGGGGGGGTGGCAGGGCGGAACGGGACGGACAGGGGAGAGAGGGGATGGAGTGGAGGGAGGGGAGGGAGGGGAGGGATGGGCGGTAAGGGAGGGAAGAAAGGGAGGGGCGGGAGTGGAGTGAGGAAAAAAGAGGGGAGAAAACGAGCGGTTAGGGGTTGGCGGAGAGATGGGGATTGTACCGAGACAAGGAGAAAGGCGAATGAAGGTAGTGTGGCGAGAGGGCTGGATGAGGGGTTTGAAGGGATGCTGCAGAAGGGGGGCGGGGTAGGCTGGTGTGGGAAGAGCAAGTGGGTAGTGAAGTGTGTGCGTGAATGGGATAGCATGGTCTGGTACAGTACCTGTGACATGCCATGCATGCTATGCTGTGGTTCTGAATGCCACGGCATGGTCCAGCATCGCATGTGTGGAATGCATGCCACGATGCAAACGGAATCAGGCGCCCAGTCCACCTCATCCCATCCCCTCTCCCACCCTCTTACCCTTCCCCATCACCACACCCCCTCCCATCCCGCATCCCCCATCCACCATCACCCCCAAAATCCTCCTCCCCATCCCCATCCCCATTCCCATCCCCATTCCCATGCCCCTCACCCCATCCTCCCCCCACCCCCTTCCCCTCTGCGCACCTGGCACTCAGGGTCCCCAAACCGGACATTATATTCCAGCAGTTTCGCAGTCCCCGTACTCGAATCCACCATGAGCCCAGCATACAGCACGCCTGTGAACGGCAGCCCTTCGGCCCTCATCCCCTTCACCGTGGGCGCAATGATCCGCTCCATCACAAACCGCTCCACCTCTGCAGTCACCACCGGCGCGGGGGAGTATGCGCCCATCCCCCCCGTGTTCGGGCCCGTGTCGCCCTCCCCCACCGGCTTGTGATCCTGCGCGGAGGCCAGCGGGACCGCCGACGTCCCGTCCACCACCGCGAAAAACGACGCCTCTTCGCCAGTCAGAAACTCTTCCACTAGCACCTGCCCGCCTGCAGAGCCGAATTCCCGGTCGATGAGCATGCGGTCGACGGCGGCTTCGGCTTCCGCGAGGGTTGTTGCGACCACCACGCCCTTGCCGGCCGCGAGCCCGTCCGCTTTGACCACTATGGGCGTGCCCTGCTCGCGGATGTACGCCTTTGCTTTGCCTGGATCTGTGAAGGACGCGTGCTGGGATAAGAGGGGAGGGGGCACGTGTGGGGAAGGGGTGGAGTTGCGGACGAGGGGGGTTGGGTTGGGTGGGTGACGGATGAAGGGAGTACGAAGGGAGCGGCGAGAGGTGGGCCGCGGGACATGCGAGCAGATACGAGAGAGGAAAACGCGTTCGTGAGGCATAGGCGGCAGGAAGGTGGGGTGTGGAGGGGCGTGGGGGGTTGGAGAGGGGTGTGTGGAAGAGGGGGGTGGAAGGGAGAGGAAGAGGAAGTTAAGGGGGGTTGCGCAGGGGGCGGGCCGGGGGGGTGGGGGGGGGGGGGGGGGGGGGGGGGGGGGGCAGAGAGGGCGAAGCGAGTTAACAGCGACCGAACCTGGGACAGAATCCCTGAGACAGAACCGGACCTGAGCAATGCCCGGTCAGACAGAACCCCAAACACCTCTTCACTCCATCAACCCTCAAGCACCTTCTATCCCGCTCCCACCCACTCTCTTTTCCCTCTCTCTGACTCCCTCTCGCGTTTGTCGCCGTCCCCGGCTCACCTTAGCCGTCGGAATGCCGTACTTATCGCAGATCATCTTCATAAACCCCTTCGAACCCTCCAGCTGCGCCGCGCCCTGCGTCGGCCCGAACGCGGAAATCCCGTTCTCTACTAAATCGTCCACTAATCCCGAGACTAGGGGCGCTTCGGGCCCCACTACGACGAGCCCGACACGCTTTTCGCGGCAGAAATCGATCACGCTCTTGCTGCTGCGGATATCCAGGGACGGGAGACACGTGGCGTCGCCGGACAGGCCGATACCCGCGTTTCCCGGCGCGCAGAAGACGTGCGCGGTGGAGGGCGAGCGGCGCAGCGCGTAGCAGAGCGCGTGCTCGCGACCGCCGCCGCCCACGACGAGCACGGAGAGGGCCGCGCCTGGGCGGGGCATGCAGGGGGCGGCGGAGAAGGTTTGGGGAAGATTGGGGGAGGGCGAGGAAAGGTCGGAAAATGGAAATGGAAGGCGGGGGGGGGGAGGGGGAGAAGGGCGAGAGGGGGAGGAAAGGGGAGGTAGGGGGAGGGACGGAAAGAAAGGGAAAAGGAGGGGAATGAGCAGGCAAGAGCATACAGGGAGTGGGTGTGGAGAGGGAATGTAAAAAACGTTTGTGGGGAAGGAGGCGTTAAGCAGAGCATAGGATAAGTTTACGTCGGAACGACGGTACACTGGGCGTGAACTCAGTAACGAGAACACCGAGCTGTTTGCTCAGACAATCTCAAGACAGAGATTAACGACATGACGAACAATCATACTGACATCTTACCGCGTGCGCCACCATCGCCCGTCGTCGTCGTCGCGCTACTCTTCTCCGCGTTCTCCGCTCGGCAGATCGCGCGGCGACCACGGGTCTTCCGCGCAGCGCGTTTGCGCGGCATCGAGCGTTCGCCTTCGATAAAAACAAGAGGCGATCCGCCGCCGGAAACAGCGGCTAGGGCGGGAGTCACGGCGGACGTGGCGGAGAAAGTGGGCGCGAGAGACGCGGTGGACTGGCGGAGAAAAGCGGCGGAGCGTTGTGGGGGGAGAAGTAGGTGCGCGGAGGCGGAAAAAAGGCACGACTGCGAATACACCGCACGCGCCATCGGTGAGGGAGTATGAGACAAGACGAAGGGAAATGTATAATCAGAGAGAAAATGCCGTGATGGGGCGGCGAGGCAAGATTCCCCCTGACAAGAAAGTGATGTCTAGATGCAATCTGGTCTGGACGGATCAATTGGGAGCGAGTGATTTGTGTTTAGGCACACGCGAGCGATATTTCCCTCCTCCACAGGTGTCTCTCTGCCTGCTGGACTGGACTGGAACTGGACTTAACGTGTGAGCACATGTGTGTTTCGAAACGAAGATGCTGCGACCAGTTCGTTGCAGAGTGTTTAGTGTCGGTTTAGTGCGTTTCTGTAAGATATACCACGGTCAATGGGGGTATTTGTGAAAAAGGAAATATCTTGTGCGAGCACGTGAGCAGAACCCGACATTGGTGTAGCCGAACTGTGAGCACCCCGTGACAATAACGATTTTCCGCGAAAAATTCAAGGGCACCTCATGATAGTTTAGATAAGATAGCTTGTGGAACCAGGGTATACAGCACAACAGCTACCACAAATATGCAACCCTTCAAAAACCCCGCTCAAAACCCGAGACCTGGGAACCCTGAGGGCTTTCAGCACGTTCTATCTATTTTCTGAAGTCCGTTTGCCTCTCACTTCAGGGCAGGTCTCTAGACGCGTGTTTTTCGTTAGCGAAATAGTTCGAGTCAACGGGATTGCCGAGTGGACTTTCGTCTAGCATATTTTTACCTTGGAGGAGGCTTAAAAGGATTCTTCAGCATAACCACAATGCCACCAAAATCATCCAAGGGAAAGCGCAAAGCCCCCCACCCTAAATCTCAGCCAGATGCGCCGCCTGAGCCCACGCAACCCGCACAAGCCCCGCCGGCACCGCCGCTGGCGGTGAGCACGGTGCGCTTTGCGGATCTGCGCCCGCCGCTGTGCGCGGAAACCTTGGCAGTGCTGGGGCGCTTCGGGTTCGAGTTCGCGACGCCGGTACAGGCGGCGTGTGTGCCGCTGCTGTGCGGGAATAAGGACGTGGCGGCGGAGGCCGTCACGGGCAGCGGAAAAACTCTAGCGTTTGTGCTGCCCGTGGCGGAGATTCTTCGGCGAGTAGCGTCGTCGTTAAAGAAATTCCAGGTGGGTTCCGTGTCGCGCATTGACGAGCGCGCGCTCCGTCTTCCGTCCCCTTTTCGCCCTCTTCTTAATCTACTCTGATTCTTCTCCTCCCTAATCCCCTGTACCCTTCCCCCCATCCCCTCTCCCGTCTCCCCTCGGCCCCCTTATCTCCCCACCCCGCCCCACCCGCCCTCTTTCCCCAAATCCTTTTCTCACTCAACTCAATCCAATATGGCGCTCATTCCTCATCTCCCCCAGTCTGCCCTTTCTGCTCTTCAGTTTCCCCCACTCCCCCCCCCCCCCCCTTCCCCCCCCCTTTTCCCCCCGCCCATTCGCCCCCAAACCCTTCTCCTCTTCCCCCTTCCCCGGGCGTTTCCCCCAAGCAGCTGGGCGCGCTGATCATTTCCCCCACGCGCGAGCTGGCGGCGCAAATACACGCGGTGGCGGAGCCCTTCCTCTCCGCCGCGCTGCCCAATCTCCGCTGCATGCTTCTAACGGGGGGACACGCGGTCGGCGTTGACGTGGCACGCATCTCCGAGGACGGCGCGAATGTGATTATAGGCACGCCGGGCAGGATCGACGATGTGCTGTCGCGGCCCAACTGCGGCCTCGATTTAAGAGCGTTAGAGGTGAGCGTTAGAGGTGAGCGCGGTACCTTCCGGTAACCTGGAGATTTTTCGTTGGTGTCAACGCCTGTACTTGGAGCACCTCTTGCAAACGGCTTTATTTCATTTCAATGTACATCTGGCGAAAGACGGATTTCCATGGCCCGTCCCTTGCATCAATCAACCCCTCCGCCCTCTCCTCTTCCTCTGATGCATCCGCTCCGGTAACGTACTGCCTCTGCTCCCACCTAGACCTCGTTTCTTGACTTGCCAGCCTCGAGACTTCGCTCACCTCTCTCCGTTCCTCCCCCCGCCCCTCCCTTCGACACACTCCACGACCCCTCCCCTTCCTCCCCCTCCCCTTCCCCCTCCCCCTCCTCCTCCCCCTCTCCCTCTCCTACTCCTCCCCCTCCCCCTCCCCCTCCCTTGCGCGCGTTCCGCTCCTCGCCTTCCCCCTGCGCGCATCCGCAGGTGCTGATACTGGACGAGGCGGACCGCCTGTTGGACCTGGGCTTCTCACCTCCGCACCTCCACACTCCGCACCCCTCTTTCCCCTTCCGCACGTCCCCCTCCCCCTCTCTCTCCTCTTCCTCCTCTTTGCGTGCGCGCGCAGGTGCTGATACTGGACGAGGCGGACCGCCTGCTGGACCTGGGCTTCGCGGCGTGCCTTGAGTCCATCCTGCACCGCCTGCCACGTCAGCGCCGCACGGGGCTCTTCTCGGCCACGCAGACGTCCGCGCTGCAGGAGCTCGCGCTCGCGGGCATGCGCAACCCCGTGCGCGTCGAGGTGCGCTCGCTCGCGCGCGCGGGCGCGGGGGGCGCGGCGGACGGATCTGCTGGCGCTGGTGCTCCAGGCGCTGCTGCGCCAGGGGGGGGAAGCGCGCAGGGGATGGGAGAAGGAGCAGGGGGAGCAGGGGGAGGGGCGGGGGAGGGCGGGGATAGCGGGTATGGGGCTGCGCTGGAGAAGGCTGGCGCAGTCAAGATCCCCGTGGGGCTTCAAGTGCAGGTGCGGGGGGAGGGGTTGAGGGGAGGGGGGAGAGGGAGGTGGGAGGTGGATGGGGGAAGAGGGGGATGTGGGAGCAGGCCGGTTGCGGAAGCGGGAGGGTATGGGAGGATGGGGGGGCATGGGCGTTGGCATGGGCATGGGCATGGGCATGGGCATGGGCATGGGCATGGGCAGGGGCATGGGCATGGGCAGGGGCATGGGCAAGGAAAAGGTGGAACACGTTGTGATTTCAATTTCTGTTCCTTGACCCGTAGACTCTGTTGCTCTTTGAGAGTTCTCAAAAAGTAGACTCTGTTGCTCTTTGAGAGTTCTCCAAAAGTAGACTCTGTTGCTCTTTGAGAGTTCTCCAAAAGTAGACTCTGTTGCTCTCGCCTCTCCCAGCTCTCCTTACCTGCTTCGCTTCAACCTTCTCCCTCCCGCTCGTTTCTTCCCAACCCTTCCTCTTGTCCTCTCTTTCTCCCCCCCCTTCCCCTCCCCTATCCCCTTCCCCGCCATACATACCTCACCCCTCGACCATCTGCCCCTCTCTCTCCTCCCCCCAGGCCATAGTGTGTGAGGGTGCGCGCAGCAAGGCGAGTCAGCTGGTGCACTGGCTCAGCAAACACCCCGACCGCAAAGTCATGCTGTGAGCCTGTCTTCCCGCCCGCCCTTCACCCAACCATTCACCCGGCCACGCACGCAGCAACTGTCACTCTTGTATTTGACGCATCTGCCCACCCAACCACTCACCCACCCATCCCTCTCTCCCCATGCCTTGCCCATCCGCGCCCTGTCTTCCCATGCATGCACACCCACACACACTCCCGTTCTCCCTCTGCCTTCACCCCTTTCACCCTCTCAACCCTATCAGCTTTCTCACCCCTCTCACCCCTCTCACCCGTCCTGCGTGCGCCCAGCTTCGTGATGACGTGTGCGTGTGTGGACTATTGGGGCTCCGTGCTACCTCTGCTCTCGCCCCTCCAGGGCATCTCCTTCTTTCCTCTGCACGGCAAGCTCAAGCAGGCACGTGCCGAGAGAGGGGCAGGGGGCATGTGAGGGGCAGGGGGCATGTGAGGGGCAGGGGGCATGTGAGGGGCAGGGGGCATGTGAGGGGCAGGGGGCATGTGAGGGGCAGGGGGCATGTGAGGGGCAGGGGGCATGTGAGGGGCAGGTGGCATGTGAGGGGCAGGTGGCATGTGAGGGGCAGGTGGCATCTGAGGGGCAGGTGGCATCTGAGGGGCAGGTGGCATCTGAGGGGCAGGTGGCATCTGAGGAGCAGGTGGTTTCTAGTCTGTGACACACGGAGCAGTCTGTTCACTTGTTGGAGCGTCTCAAGCGTCCCCCTCTTAATAGGAGCTTACAGGAACGTTTGAAGGTGGCCCTGCCACGCCTCTGCCGCTCTTTAACCAGTTGTACCCCCTCCAGTCCGGTCCGGCCCCCACTCCCCTTTTCCCCTCTCCCCCTCCCACTCCCCTTTTCCCCTCTCCCCCTCCCACTCCCCTTTTCCCCTCTCCCCCTCCCACTCCCCTTTTCCCCTCTCCCCCTCCCACTCCCCTTTTCCCCTCTCCCCCTCCCACTCCCCTTCCCCCTCCCCCACTTCCTTCCTCACCAGTCGAAGCGCGATGCGGCCGTTGCAGCCTTCCGCAAGGCGGAGCGAGGAGTGCTAATCTGCACGGACGTGGCGGCCAGGGGCCTTGACATCCCCGGCGTGCATTGCATTCTGCAGTTCGACCCCCCTCAGGACCCCCGCGCGTTCGTGCACCGCGCAGGGCGCACGGCTCGCATGGGCCGGGAGGGATCTGCTCTTGTGTGGCTGCTGCCTAAGGTGAGGGGTGGGGACGGGGCAGGAAAGACATCCCCGGGCCGGCGTGCATTGCATTCTGCAGTTCGACCCCCCCTCAGGCCAGGACCCCCGCGCGTTTGTGCACCGTGCGGGGCGCACTGCCCGCATGGGCCGGGAGGGATCCGCCCTTGTCTGGCTGCTGCCTAAGGTAGAGGGTGGGGACGGGTCAGTTAGGGGTGGGGAGAAGGAGGGGCTAAGGCGAGAGGGGAGGGGGTGAAAGGGGAAAGGGGAGAAAGGGGAAAGGAGAAATGGCAGGTAAGGAGCATCCTGCAGTTCAACCCCCCTCAGGGTTCCCGCGCATTTGTGCACCGCGCAGGGCGCACCGCGCGCACGGGCTGCAAAGGGGTCTGCTCTTGTGTGGCTGCTGCCTAAGGTGGGGGTAGGGGGGAGATGCAGGGGAAGCGAAGGTTGGGGGGGAGAAATGGAGCTGAGTAGTGTGGGATTGGCAAATGGGGGGTTGGCGATTGGGGGGAGGGGTGGGAGAGTGTGTAGGAACAGGCTGAAGGGGGGAGGATCAGGGGTGGAGGGGGCATTAGTCGAAAGTGATTTTGTCGGCAGGAGGAGAATGCCCGCCCCACCCCCAATGGGATATGCTATGCACCCTCATAGCCATTCCCGTTCCCTCATGTCCCACCAGGAGGATGCATACCCGGAGTATCTGCGGCTGCAAGGAGTGCCGGTGGTGCTGGAACCCCCCGCACCAGATGTTGTCGATGTCATTCCGCAGGTGAGGTGATTTCGGATTGGATCAGAGTTGGATTCAAACTCGTTCCCCTGTTGGACGAGTTGGACTCCGTTTGTATTTTTTTGCATGCTCCCGTTGGATTCTGCATCCCTGTACTGGAGATACCACCCACCCAGCTCTGATTGTGTTGTTAGTTTTATCATAGTGGGATGTGTTGCTTTTTCTCTGCTTCGTCTTGTTTAGCCTTCACTCTGCTGCGTCAAGATCATTCCAGGAGGGCTCTTTTGAGTCGACTCAAAAGCAGTCAAGATCATTCCAGGAGGGCTCTGACACTTTTGGGATGTGAACAATGTGCCGACGGGGGCATGCAGAAAAATACCCTCCATTTGTGGTTCTGTTGCTTTTGGCCGTGTGCGTGCATGCATGTGTGGCAGCTGAGGGAAGCTTCGCGGAAGGATCGTGCAGTGGTGGAGAAGGGTGTGCGGGCGTTTGTGTCGTTTGTGAGGGGCTACAAGGAGCACCACTGCAACTACATCTTCAGGTGCCATTTCTTGCCCTCACGAGTCACGACCCCATCCGTGTTCCCCTCTCCCTCTCCTCCTCTCCCCCTCTTGCCCCATTCTGTCCTACAATGAAGCCACGCCTTTGCTGCCACTCCCTCCCTTGATCTCAATCTAGCTCACGTCCTCTCGCTTGCAGGCCCCCCCACTTACTTTCCTCTTCACTTTTGGTATCTTTTTGGTATCTTGGAACGTGTGAAGAACGCCCACTCCACAAGCTGCACCACAGACCACCTCCCACCTTCTAAGTGACTTTTGAGTCGACTCAAAGGTGCTCCACAGACCACCTCCCACCTTCTAAGTGACTTTTGAGTCGACTCAAAGGTGCTCCACAGACCACCTCCCACCTTCTAAGTGACTTTTGAGTCGACTCAAAGGTGCTCCACAGACCACCTCCCACCTTCTAAGTGACTTTTGAGTCGACTCAAAGGTGCTCCACAGACCACCTCCCACCTTCTAACCCCCCCTCCCCTTCCGCCTCCCGCTCCCCCCATCCCCGCCAACACCTCCCTCCCTCTTCCACCCCATTCTCCTCCCCCTGCCACCCCCTCTTTTCTCCGCAGGTTTCAAGAGCTGGAGATGGGAGCAGTGGCCATGTCATACGGTGTGCTCGAGATTTCCTGCATGCGTTCCAAGGGGTGACTTTTGAGAATTCTCAAAAGTCACTCCTGCATGTGTTCCAAGGGGTCTTCAAAAATCCTCCCCATTCCACCCAAGCTTGCGCTCCTTCTCATCTCAGGTTTCAGGAGCTGGAGATGGGAGCAGTGGCCATGTCGCATGGTGTTCTCAAGATCCAGCGCATGTCGGAAACCACATTCGAGGTGCCTAAGGGTACATTCGTATCCTGTGTCAGACATTAGGTCTGACACGAAGTGCCCCAAAACTCAGGCAAATTGAGGTTCGGAAGACACAAGCTGAGTCTGTTTGCGTCTTCCGAACCTCCAACTCCGTGTCTGACACGGGATACGAATGCACCCTAAGAAACTACCTTCCTCCCTCCTCAACCCCCTCCTCTCTCTCTCCTCCTCCCGCCCCCACTCCCTCTTTGCTCCTCAGGTTTCAGGAGCTGGAGATGGGCGCAGTGGCCATGTCGTACGGTGTGCTCAAGATCCCGCGCATGCCGGAAACCCGCCACCATCCGCGCCTCTTCGACGGCTTCGAACCCGACAAGACTGTGGACGTGGCCACGCTCAAATACAAGTGAGACTGTTTCATTCACTCAATCAGAACGAGTTTGTTGTGTGTATCGTTTAAATTCATGAATGGCATGACAAGGAGAAACCCGCCACCATCCGCGCCTCTTTGATGGCTTCGAACCCGACAAGACTGTGGACGTGGCCACACTCAAATACAAGTGAGTTTTAAGGTTGAACGTCCGGGAGCGGCTCGACCTAATTCGAGCGAGTTTGTGCGTTACTTACGTGTAAGGAGTTCACGCAAATGCATGACAGGCAAGGCAGGTACAAGAGGAGGCACCCCGCCAGCCACCATCCCTGCCGCCAGACCTCTTTGATGGCTTTGAGCCTGGCAAGACCGTACATGTGGCCACGCTCAAATACAAGAGATGACGTGCGGTTTCAGAGGGTTGCTCCATTGGACGACAGGCATGACAGGCACATAAAGCCAATAGCATGGCAGTGCTCCCACGCACAAGTGCATTTTTTTCCTTGGCGCCTCAAACATACCCTTTCCTCCTTACTGGCTGTGCAGGGATAAGAACCGGGAGAAGCAGCGACAGCAGTTTCTGAAGCAGCAACAGGAAGGATCTGAGAACCCTCAAAACAAGCCGGGGAGACAGCAGCGCCAGCAGCAGGACAAGGATCAATCCGGCAAGGGGAACACTCCACGGGTCGACGTGGCTTCTCTGAAATCTGTTGGGGCGCGAGCAGTAAGAAGAGCGCGGGAGGAGGATGAGCAGGATGAGATGAATCGTGAGTATAAAGAGCTGATGAACATGAGGAAGCGGAAGAAGGGGAAGAAGCGGCTAGCATTGGGAGATCAAGATGATGATCTTGACAGTCTTGACGGTGACCTGCTGAATCGATCTGTTGATGGATCAAACGAGCGGTTGGGGAGCCAAGATAGAGGATATAGTGGGCAAGGGGATGAGAAAGTGGATTCTCTACCTGGAGTTCCCAATGCTGCTGCTGCAGTGGAATATGGTGCTGTTCATGGTGAAACTGCTGCTGCTGCTGTTGCTGTGGTTGCTCCTGGGGTTGATGCTGTGGATGGCAAGGATATGCACTCGAGCGGGCTTTTGAATGTGAGTAAACATGGTGCCACCGCTGGGAATACGAATGGCAGGAAAATGGATGCCGCGAGAAAAGGGAGAGGTCAAGCAGTTGCAGCATTGAAGCAAAAGGGCAGCAATGGAAGCACCATGAAGCAGATTGGAAGTGCCCGACATGCAGCATGGATGCTGTTGCGCAAAAAGAAGCGAGTGGCAGCAGCGAAGAGTAGGGCCAAGGAGGCTAGGCATCTGGACAATAGCTGAAGCAGCACCTTTTCTTTCTTTATTTGGATATAACATCAGCCATGAATAATACCATATTTGCTCATGTGATAGTGCACTTTCAAGCAATTTCTTCTTGCAATGCGCAAATGTCCTGCCAATCGTGGTCAATACGTTGTGCGTTGACAGTTCGCTAAATGCGGCTGAGTGCTGTAAATGTGTACACCTGGTCCGCGGTAAATTCACCACGTGAACGCTTTTTTTCCCATCCCCTCTATGTGCGTTTCTGTCTAATTCGACGGTCACTCAGAGACTGCGGGGCTACAAGTAAACAGCCAGAATTCATTTCCGTCTAGCGCGGCTGGTACTCAGAGATTAGGGATTGGTTTTAAACCAAGTTTCAGCATTCCTGGTTAAGTGGGGGTAGTCATGATTTTATCCCCTCTGAATCCGAAACTACCTTTCACAACTAGCTTGACCGAGGGGAATGTCAGAATGAGGAATGAATGTTCCATTGATGTTGGTTGGGGTACATATGACAAACCCTAACTTCTGTACCCCCTAAGACAAACCTCACTACAGGCTACAACATTTGACACACCCCCATAGCCTAAGTGAGGGGTGTCTAGCAAAAAACAAAAAAGAGTACGGTCACAAGACCAGTCCAAAAGAAAACAAAGCTCAGGGTGGATCACAACGTCACCACACACTCTGAGCACAAGCAACAGTGGCCACAAGGCCAGTCCAAGAGATCACAAGTATATATAGTAAAAGTACAAACGAAGCAGGCAATAAACTCAAGTCTACGCATGACTAGAACCTGTGTCAACAAGGCCTAACTGCACACAACACCTCTGGTGGTCACAAGGCGGAAGCGCCTTGGTGAAGATGTCTGCAGTGTTGGCCTCGGACTCTACAAACTCGAAGCGAGCCTGTCCACGCCTCTGAAGAAAGTACCTGACGTGAATGTGCTTCACTCTGCTCTCCAGTCGCGGCTCACGACAAAGGAGGATCGACGCCTTGTTGTCAGTAAACAAGGTCGGTGCAGAGCTCGGCCGCTCACCAAGGTCGGCGAGCAAGAAGGTCAACCACCGCAACTCCTGTGCCGCCATGGCACCAGCGTAAATCTCAGCCTCAGCTGTAGAGGTCGAGACAGAAGAGGAGCGCGTGGAACGCCAGGAAACAGCTCCAGAACCCAGACTGAAACAGTACCCCTGAGTAGACCTGTGAGTCTCAGCGTCGTCAGCGTAAGAGGAGTCACAGTGACCAGTGAGTACGACAGACTGCTGCCCTCCAAGAACTAGCCCCACGCCTGATGTAGTCGCTAGGTACTTCGCCACCCTCACAGCTGCCGTCCAGTGAACAGGACGGTGTCTCCCTGGCGCAACAAAGCGCGCAAGGATGCTGAGAGGGAAGGCGAGGTCCGGGCGAGTACAAGTCATCAGGTACATGAGGCAACCCACAAGCTCTGCGTAGGGACCACTAGGCTCAAACGGCTCGTCAGGAAAGGGACCAGTGAGTTTGTGGTCAACAGCTAGAGGTGTGCGCTGTACGGTGGAGTGCTGAAGCCCGAACCGCTGAAGGACCTGCTGCACCATGTGTGACTGTGAGAGTGTAATGGTGCGAGCGGCTCTGTCCCTGGTGATCTGCAGGCCAAGGTAGTGGCGCAGCTCACCAAGATCAGTGCACGTGTGTCTCTTCTGCAGTTCGGACTTCACGTCTGCCAAAGCAACCCTGTCCGGAGTGGCAAAAACGAGGTCGTCGACGTAAACCAGAACAAAGAACGGTGTGGAGCCACGACGAACGAACAGCGACGGGTCGGCAGAAGACGGCTGGAACCCAAGGTCAGAGAGGGTAGAACGCAGAGTGTCGTGCCACTCACGAGGGGCCTGGCGAAGACCGTAAACAGGTCGCCTCAGCCTCCACTGGGTCCCAGGAGGGAAGGTGCCAGTGAAGGCCGAGGGACGACGCAACCAGACCTCCTCGTGTAGGCTGCCCTGAAGGAAAGCAGTGGAGAAGTCGAGAGAGTGTAACTCGTAGTCTCTCTGTGCTGCTACGTGTAGTAACACCCGAAGAGTGGTCATCTTCGGGGTAGGTGCAAAGGTCTGAAAGAAGTCAACTCCCTCGCGCTGACTGAAACCTCTAGCCACGTAGCGCGCCTTGAAGACCGGGGGAGATCCCGGTGGCCGCTTCACCCTGTAGATCCACATGCCGTCGACTACGTTCGCCCCAGGGGGGGGAACCTCATCGACGTAGGTGCCTGTGGATCTGTAGGAGGCCATCTCTGCGTCCATGGCAGCTCTCCACTGAGAGGCCCAAGGCCCTGACACTGCCTCAGCGTAAGTGCGAGGAGTCGGAATGTCAAGGGCGTCGGGGTCACCCTCAGGGGCGAGGAGCATGGCACAGAGATGAGGGGAAGCGGCCGCCAGGAACTCTAGCTCAAACTGCCTGTCCTCTAGGGCGTCACAGCCAAGGGCAGACACACCCCCGACGGCCAGAGGACTGGTAGGAGGAGCAGCCACAAGCGTGGTGGCGTAGTCAAGGCGGCGGGTAGAGGCAAAGTCAGTAACTGCGGCAGTAAGAGCGGACACAGAGGACACAGAGGCACGAGGGTGAGTAACAAGAGAGGCGAGAACAGGAGAGAGAACAGGACGGTACGTGCGGTAGTAGTCAGTGACAGGAGTAGGGAGCGACACAGTGAGGGCCGACTTAGGAGGAGACGGAAGCACAGACTGAGACGGACGAGGTGGACTAGAAAGAAGGAAGGTAGTACGAAGGTCAGTGAAGGGAACAGGAGACGAGGGACGAGCACGAGGGGAGCGACGAGTAGCCCAAGAACGAGACGGAGGAGGAGAGGACAAAGGCGGAGAACTGGGGAAAACAGCGGGGGAGGAGTCAGGAGGAGGAAACGTGGGACCGTAGACAGGAGGAGAGGCGGAGGAGGGAGGAGAAGGGGAGGGGAGACCAAGGATCCGAAGACCCGAGACAGGAGGAGGAAGTGGCTGCTGCTGCTGCGGCTGCGACTGCTGCTGCTGCGGACGCGGCTGCTGCTGGGACTGCTGCTCCTGCGGGTCCAGCTGCTGCTGATGCTGCTGCTGCTCCTGCGGCTCCAGCTGCTGCTGCTGCTCCTCCAGCCGCTGTAACTCCCTCTCCTCTCTCTCCAACGCCAGCTGCTCGTCACGGGCACGGCGAACACGAGCCTGGTGCCTAGTCGGGTAGGGGTGGGGGGGTGGAGTAGTGTCCGAAGCAGCGGCAGCTCCAGAGTCCACCTCAGAAGAACTAGGCGCACCACCCCCAGAGGCAGCACTAACACCAGCTCCAGAACCCGGCTCACCTGAACCCGAAGGAGGCGCACCCTCACCCCCAGACGCAGCACCCCCAGTGTCCGCGCGGCCAGCACCAGCTCCCGGACGACAAGAGTCCTCTGCACCCACCGGGTCAGCTCCAACTCCAGAACCAGAAACTCCAGCTCCAACCCCAGCTCCAACTCCAGCACCCCCAGAACCAGAAACTCCAGTGCCAACTCCAGCTCCAACTCCAGCTCCAACTCCAGCACCCCCAGAACCAGAAACCGGTACAGGAACAGGCGCCGCACCAACCTCTCGAGAGCTAGCACCAGCGGCACGCTGCGAGGAGGACTGTGGGGAGGGAGGTTGTACCGGAGGGGCTACCGAAGGAGGAGGGGTAGCCTGGGACACACCTGACGGGGCTGGACCAGGGGGGGGAGGCTGTACCGGGGGAGCAGGAGGGGG